CAATGCTGTTCTTATTGAACTGGTATTCTCGCTTTTTACAAAAATAATACTATTTCCTTGAATATCAATCTTGCACTTTCCCGCAAATTCAATTTTACATGTCTCAAATTATAAAATAGCACACTCAAAAATTGTTTGATAGATGGTAACTTATTGCCAACGACTTGGTTGTTCACATTTCCAACTAAATATACTTCATCATGCGTACGTAAAACAAAATGTGATAATGATGAAGCCATTTTATAATAAATATTCAATATTAATTTATAGAACTATGCACTTTTTTCCAAATATTATTCGTAAATAAAATAATGTTAAGCATAAATGCTATACGGTATCGTGATTTATGAACATTGAATAATGAACAGAACACTGAACAGTACAAAAATAGACAATAATGCACAAAGTGACAGTGTGTTATAACTGAATAAGAAAAGCTCGATAAGAAATACAATTTAATATACAATTAAGATTTGAATTTAATATTATTTTTGTTATCTACAAATAACAAGATTATTTATTGTGTAGAAATATCCAAAAAAAAAAAATCAAATAGATAAAGATATAGTTTAATGATGTTTTTCATGTTTCGTTACACTCTCATAATAGAGATATATTAAAACTGAGTTGTCCGAAAAATGATAAGGACATATATCGACAGATTTTTATAGAAAATAATAGATTTACGAGAAATTTTGTGCGTTTTTTATAGAGAGTACTTGAATCTATAATTAAGGTTCTATACACTATTATGCTGAATGCAATATATAATGAATTAAATCAGAATAACCCTAAAACTACCCTATTTATCAATATTTAACCCTCTTGCGGCACCTTAAGGAGGTTATTAATCATCACTAAATTTAATTCACATCACTTTCGTATGGTAATGAAAAATTGGGAGGGTGAGAAACTAAAAATTTGAAAGTTCATAAATAAGGGCAACCTTTATATATATATATATAATTTTATGTATCACTAAACAATTATATTTATTTATAAACGATACAAATGTATCGTCGATAAATTTACTCTTCATTGGGAATCATTTTCAATTGTTTACTTATGCAAAGTAATAAATACAGATCTCTGTCTATGTTTGCAGTTATATTTATAATGTAATTGATTTGAAAACTCGAATATAAAAGTAATTATATAGTACCTAAAAAATTTAGACTTAATTAGATAATATACATGAATTTATGCATAGGAAATGAATTAACATAGTAATGTATTCAAGTTATTGGATGAACATGAATTGAAAAAAAAAAGTAATTATTATTTTCAATGCAGATGAACGATGCTAATTAATTAAAATTTAAAGCTTCTCAAAAAAAAAAAAAACTCATATGATTACAACCATTTTCCAGTGTAAGCAATAATTTAGCATTCGATAAATTGGAAGAGTAAAATTATTTTACAGTTCGAATACACATAATAATTGTTTTTATTTGATTTTAGATTATGATTAGGTTTTGCTATATCACATTAAATATTTAATTAATGTACTACTAATTTATCTAAAAAACCAGTAAAATAATATAAGTGTTATTAAAAGACTGGATTTTGGCCAGTTGGTAAGATTTATGCTCAACCTTAAATTCGTGCTCCTAACGTTTGATTGCAATTGTAAGGATCATTCAAAAAAAAAAAAATATTAAAAATATATTTTATATAATAATTTTATAATAAATAGATAATTGTTGTATATAACTATAATAATAAAGGGATTTATAACTGTGGAAAAAATAAATGGAGGTAAGAAAAATGTAAATTATATAAAAAAGAGGGACCTTCCCTTCTTCAACTTCTAAACCTACCTTATTAACCAATTTTGTTCAAATACTTATCAACCATCTTAAAAAATATAAATTTATCTACCGAACCTTTTTCACTCAAAACCGTTTTAAGTTGAATATTGAAGACTCAATCACCATTTCAGCCTTAAATGGAACTTTTAGTTACACCAGTGTTCTTTATACCTATATTGTATTTTAATATATGTATTATACTATATTAAGACTAAACTGCATGCATTTTTCTCAGTTGTCGATGAAATCGTTTCCGTAATGAGATCCTAAGAAAAAAAAAATTTTATGCTGAGAACGAGGTGTACATAATATAGTGTGTAATATGTACTACATTACCTGGGTAGGTGAAATAACACACGTGAACAGTAATACAGTAATCAACGATGCACGCGTAGATACCGGTCTGTAATTAGCTGCAGTCGAGTATCAATCGGGACAAAAAGGTTTTCTTCAATCGTGCCGACAGTTGGACGACGACGATTATGTTGCCGCCGACAAAACGACAGGAAAATAAAAAGAAGGATATTTTCAAAGGAAATTGTCGGCAGCGACGATTGACGACAACCGTATAAGCTGCAGGTAGGTATTATATTATTATTATCAACGTACAATGCGTGCACATAATGCGGATATGTATACAAATGTAATATTTATTCTACGATTGTCGATGGTACGGCGAATCGTCACCGACCGTCGCATGTACAGGGTGAGTGGTGATAGCATTTGTACCGATTTGGGGTGTTATTAAAAAGCGGCATCAATTTTACGATACCGATTCCGGGAACAACGCAATATCTCGACACCGTATAAATTATAAGGCATCGTATTTTATCCCATTGCATCACACCACGTAGAATAACATCACGCGTGGGCATTATACTGGTACATCGAGAAGGACAATTTTTGTATTTATTTATTTATTATTTTTTTCAATACCAGAGGGTTGATTGTGCACGGTTATAAATTTTACCTTATAACAGTGTCTATGATATTTATCTGTCGTCCTTAGTTTTTAAAAACGAACCGCTATAACAGCAACTTCTATACATGGTTCGCGTCTTAACTTCGAAGACACTGCGCATTATGTGTATAATAGGTAGTATTTCAGTATTGTGTCCTGATGACATAACAACGCAATGGTCTGGAATAACGTACGTCGGCTTCATTTGACCACCGCTCTTTGATACCGTATTGCTGTTCTATCTAATCCACTTATTGTGCTCCGCGACGAACATTCGGTTGTGTTATACATCTTGACCCTTCACCCATTTATGTGCTCTTAAAACTTGACGTGTATTGACCGTGTATTACGTTTTATGCGAGTGCGTGCAAAGACGTTTACGGATCAATGAAACCGATAATGTACCTGGGTGTATTATCGGGAGGCGATAAAATATACGTGGAACGATATAAATCCATGAACGCATTATCACCGAACAAACGTGCCACCATATTATTGCCTACCCGGTGTATCAATATAACAATAACAATGTACAAACTGCCATTATTTATCGCGTACGTACAACCGTTATGACTTTACGCTTATGAACGTGTGTGTGTGTACTCTATTGTTTAACGTTGCTGATGAGGTCACATACGAAAATAATAAAAATCAATTTTGTCCACGACAACGGGTCCGTTTTTTTAGTGGAATAACAATTATTAACTTTTAATAATTATTATAAATATAATTTAAATAATAAACATTGACGCGAATCCTATTGAATGAAGATTTTTTTCTGTAAACAGCGACGTTCCCGTTTACTCCCAACAGCAGGTTTTGGATAAAATGTACCGATCGTACTATTTTGATTTTTTCCCAAAAAAAAAAAAAAGGTTGATTTTTAAATCTATAGTAACAATAATTTATTGTTATTTAGTTATAGTAGAGTAATAACATTGATTAAATATACATATTAATATATTAATTACATATATAACATGTATATTTAATCAATGGTAATAGTTACTTAGATACGTTTTTTATATTTAATATTAAAATAATTTGGTAAACACTTTTAAAAAGTTATTAATTAAACACAGCTTATTGAAATAACTAGAGCTAATATTTCTATACAATGTTCATATTTTTTTGAGTGATCTCTGCTGAAAATGCTTTTCGTGTACATATTTAATTTCTGTAGTAGATTCAATGGTAACATTTTTATTTTACATTTCTTGGAAATATAATTAGTCTTAATTTATATTTGTACACTATACGGCTTAATAATTTAAATTCGGCTCAATTATATTATTATCAAAAAATAATTTATTAATCTTCGCTGCATCAGGGCCGTATTTACGGGGGGGGGGAGGGTTCAAACCCCCTTCTAAAATTCTAAAATTCTGAAATTTAAAATTTTTATTTTTAAACTTTTTTTTTTATGTAAATGAATAAATACTTGATATATTAGTATAGTAAATTTATATTATTATGCCCCAGGTGTAATAGTGCCTGAAGTGCATTGCACAAAATCGATAATACCTACATCGTGGTGCATTGTGATAAATAATTGATAAGAGTTACAAATTTGGAAATAAAAACTCAAAGGGCTAGTAATAGTAACAAACAATGATGAAATGCTGCCTTCTAATGCATTGGATGCCATCAGGCGTTGAGACCCTATCAATTCTATCATATTCCCAAATATATTTATATTACTAAAAATGTTGTGTTATCTCCCTGTTTCTACTTCAACGCCAGAAAGATCTTTTTCTGGCTTAAAAAAAAATAAAGACCTCAGAAACAGTGTGAAAGAGGTATGTATGTAATTTATTTTGATGTAATTATTTAATTGTAATAGTTTTGATAGAATATATTATGTTTGAATATATCTTTATTAACAATTACTTACAATTTATTCTTAAATATATAACAATACAATGTTTTTAGTATTATGTTATTATGCGATATTAATATTAACTGAATAGTGTTCTGAATTCTGATTTTTGAGTCATATTTCAACTTATATTATTTATTTGCCGAAGTAGCATTTATATTCTCAAATAATTTGATTAAGCGTCTCACAGTACCATGTTTAAGATTAAGTTTTTCTTTTTCAATCAGGTATAGTCTTCCGTGGTCCCCACCACCAAGTTCTTTTCTTATATCATATATTGCCGATTCATTGTTAACATTGTTATCGAAACTGTTGACAGGTTTTTTCATGATGACATTGTAATGATTAACCACTGCTGATACTTGACATTTTATAACTTTTATGTCTTTATTGAATCCATTACTTTTCTTCGTATCCGCAGTCAACTTTTTCTGTAAAATCGATTATTGCCACATTACAGATGTCATCTAACAACATTTTTTCCACGTTTATTGTAAAAAATGTTATGGAAAACATGATTAAATATGTGCATTATATAATATTGCTGGAGCGTACCCAGAAATTTTTTATGGAGGGGTCCAACATATTTATTTTATCTGTTCTGTAATTATAATTATAGTTTAACACAATACCAACAAATGACTGTTAATATACTATAGTATGGTTTATATATTATAGGTATTTTATATAGGTAATCTATAAACTTTGTATATTGAAGATAATGTGCAATTAAAATACATTATATACTACTCGTATTATTATACTATTTTCTATTAAATTTTTTAGTAGATATGTAGAAATTTCAATGGGGGGTCCGGACCTCTTATAGGACCTGTTATTATACACCCCCCCTTGGATATACCCTTGTAATATTGTTATTACTTGGTTTGTAGTATAGGTAAACTCACATTTTCAATATAATCAAATGTTCTATTCGATGTCTGCAGTGGATTAATCAATTTAGACGTGTCTTCGGTATCATTAATATTCCATTGGACACCAACAGAACGTTTTAAGGGCACAGCAGAAAACTTTTGTCCTTCCAAATAACTGCTTACTTCTTCTACTTTATATTTTGAGTCTGCTAGTTTATATCTGGTTTGAGTAGGTGACCTACTGCTTTTAAATTTATCATTGGAATTATTTTTTTTTCTTTGTCGTCTTTAACTACGTTGCTGTCGCTTTGTAATTTAGTGGATTTACATGGGACTAAAAATAACAAGAAAAATAAGTTTATTAAGCACTTATGAAGCTTATTAGACTCTTAATATCATGATTATATATCAACATGCATGTATTAAGATTATAACTGTTGAAGTTAATAATTTTCCAAAATTCTTTATTATTCTATTTAAGTTATAATTTTGATATTTTTTTCTCATAGTTAACACCAAATGTAAAAGGTTTTGAACTAATTTTAGATTATGGTTAATTTGAGTAATGTACTAATTTTTTTGAGTAGTAAATAATATTGATATATAAAAAAAATAATGTGAAACAACTATTCTATGCAAAATTCGGTAACAAAAGAGCCTTAGGAAAAACATGATCTTCATAAACGACGAATTGTTAACAATATTTTTTTTTAGATTTTACGTACTAAAGATTTTCATTCCTTTGTATTTTAAACAAAGAGTTCCAGGTTGGGAATTATCTGGTACAGGAAATTTAGGACCATGTCCAGGAATACCAGGAACCCATGCTATGACATCCATGTTTTTGATACAACGAGGGTGGTTTTCCATTTCAGCTGTAAATATAAATAACAACAATAATTAATAAGTAAATATAATATTTACTAAAGAATAAATAATATAATAATATTGACTGACTTTTGGATATGTATTTCTTTTTTATTTATGTATTCACTAATAGTGTACAGTATATACTGTATACTAGATACTTATATCATATATTCATATAAAATAAGGTTCTATTTCGAATTAAAATATTTTACAAAATATGAATAATTTTTACTGGAACGATAAAAATTAAATAACTATTTACATTGATGTTTATAATATTTAGCGTAACTACATTGTTTATAAAAAATAAATATTTTAGCCAGACTTGTTTATGTTTAAACCTTTTATCATTTTTATCAATGTTCGATATTTTTAAAAAAATTGTACTTGTAGTTATAGTTTTTTGTTAACTTCATTTTAATTTGTCAGAATATTAAGAAAATATATTTTTGTTATTCTTACGATTTATTTTCTTAAATACAGAGCTTCACGCCACTGGGGCATAGCCCCTACACTAGATATACCACTTGTGACATCAAATATTATAAAAAAAATACCGATTTAAATTATGACATAGTTTCATATTTATTTTAATACAATTTACTAATTACAATAAGTACATCATTTTTATAATATTATACATTTTTTTAATTAATATTAAAGATATAAAAGGTCAAACAAATTAAACAATACATATGAATAACATCGCAAATCAATATCCTTGATAGTTTTGTTGCACATTTTGCAATACTATTTACAACAATTTCCTTATCAACAATATAATCTCTTTCAATATTTGTCATTAATACAGCTTCCATAATATCTTGAGAAATTAATGATCTTAATTTAGTTTTTATGTTTTTTAACTTTGGAAAATATACGTTCACGTGTAACTTGTGTACATATTAACGTTTAAATAAATGTATATGCTAAGTATATAGTATTAAAAGAGCCGGATTGTTGAACAATTTCGTACAAAATATTAAAAGCACATCTTAAACAATTGTTACACGTATGCAGTGGCGTAACTACCGGGAGGATTGGGAGTGTCAAACACTCAAAGACAGCAGGGGCCACCGGGCCCAGCCTAAATAAAATAAACTATTTCGGTATTTGATAACTGATTTCACAATAAATAAACAACAAAATAAAATTATTGATTTCATAATTTCATAAAGAAAAACTAGAATATATGGAATTTATTCTAATTTTATGTTTTCGGAAAAAGATTTTGAGAGTATTACATGGGGTATCAAAATCCCTTTAGAAACAAAATAAAAATTTGCACGATGCATGCAATTATCGAAAACCTAAGAGATAGCTATGAAAATATACTGTTGGAGTGTAAAGAATTATGCTCCATAGGGGAACTATTCCTAATTTTCAATGTTAAGAGGAGTAGACTTGCTCTACAATATTTTGATGAAATTGATGGTGATCTTCACCTAAATATAACATGAACATTTCAGGATTAAAATTTTCTACCTATCATTGATACAGTTATATTTCAACTAAATTCACGGTTTCAAGGACTACAAGAAACAATAAAGAATGTTTATTTTTTATTTTCTACAATGTTAGCTAAAATGGATGAAAATGATATCTCTAAGGCTTCAATGAACTTTTTTTATTTATACAATGATGACATTTCTTCAGATTTTACCAGACAATTAATGTGTTTAAGAGGATTTTAAACACTAATATTCAAACGATTAAGGATCTGGCTTTATTTATAGTTAAAAATGATATTTGTTCAACATACTTTTATATAATAACTGCATGTATAATTTATATTTCATTGCCTATAACACTTGCAACGGCAAAAAGGTCATTTTCGAAATTAAAATTAATTAAAAACTAATTAAGGAACAGTATGGGGCAGGATTGACTTTCTAATATTTCCATTTTAAATGTAGAAAGAAATGTAACTAATAAAGTTGATTTGGAAAAAATGATTTCTACGTTTGCCGATTTAAAAACAAGAAAAAAAAATTTCTTAAGTGAAGACAAATTTGAAATACTTCTAACAATATTGTTAACAAATCTTTTTTTCTGTGGAAACGTTAGGCTTTTCATCAGATACTTATTTATCAGGCATTTTATTTATTTTTGGCACTCTACTTACACATTTATTTTTACTAAACTTATCTTTTATTCTAAAATATATACTACTTAATTCCAATTCTTCATTAATTTTTATTATAAAATGTTGAACATTAGAAATAAGTTTATTAAATGTTATATCACCATTATTTAAGGGAACTACCATAAGTCTAATAAAAAACAATTTTCTGTAACTTTTTTTATGTAATTATAACTCAGTTATTATTTTGGATTTGATATTAATTAAAAATATTGTGTAATAGTGTACTGAAATGGGGAAAATTAATTACGAGCGGCTTTTTAATAAATAGTAGGAGACACTTATTTTCGGTTTTACACTACAGGGAAGAAAGACGGCAAAATGTTGTTACCCCTGGGCAAAAAAATCTTAAATACGGCCCTGATTATCAGTGCCACATAAGCCAAACTGACGCCTTACATTTTTTTAAAATATAATATGATTTTAAACTCTTTTTATTGCTATAACAAACACAGCAGAAATATATTTTAAGGAGTTTCCTCTTTAGTTAAAATATTAAAGAATAATTATAACGAATGTATATTTGGAATTTTTTTTTTTTTTTGAAACATATTATTTATTAATTGTTATTCATAGTTTAATTTATTGAAAATTATAAGTTAAAATAGTAAACTAAAATACATTTTTATTCAAGAATCAGTGTTTTTTAATAGTTAAAAAAATTGATTTTATAGGTTTATAATGACAAAATAAATTCTGGTAAACTTAAAGTGTATTTAATAATACTTATATAAATAAATATTATAATAATTAATTAATGTTATTAATTGTTCAAATTGATGTCCATTTTTTCAAAAACATACTTCAGCACGCCGGATAAATTAATTTTTAGTGCAGGCTGAAATCTGTACTTTGGTCAGTTTATTACATGCTGTTCTTATTTTGTCTTTTAAATGTTGAAGACTTATTGGAGTGTTGGCATACACTTCGGTTTTTTATGTTCAGTTAATTATGCTCATTAAACCTAATTGATTTGTTCGATCTACATAAAATTTGTATGGGGGGGGGTAGTTTAAAATTAAATAAAACTAATAAATAAGAAGGGGACATTTTCAATCTAAAACCGTTTTTCATAACAATAAGGGACAAAAACGAAAATCATTTAGAAAAATAATTTTTATATAATCGACATTGTTTCATTGTGCATGCGTGAGTATAATGAACAGATTTAAGTTCAGAGATCATCAAAATGAGTTTTATTAAGTATAACATACATCTAAAAAAACAGAATTCAAATTGCATTGCTCTACGCAAAAATCCAATTATCGTTTACACACTGTAGATATCTATAATTTACATATTATGTATAAACTATTAGTGGTGCCGAACACTTACTTTATGAAGCAGTTCGCCCTTTAATTTCATTGTGATGGTGGTTGTCTGGTGTTTGGGTGGGTGTGGGGTGGGTTGGGTGGATAAATGTACCCACTAGTTAGTAAATCTTCAGAATGAACAAATTAATTAATAGTCGATCTGTATATGGTAGAATACTATGATGCGATAGAGCAATTCGTCTATCAATGCATGTCTTTATACTATAACAAGTATACAGACGTATACGTACATTGACATTTATATCTATTTCACACACATGATGAAGCTAAACGCCTCTTGGTTCTCAGTGTTTAAAAGTGATTATACAGCATGCAAATACATCTTATAAACATTTTAAGATAATTACTTAAATTACCAATTGTCCCGTGAAACATTTTTGAAACATCTTTTTTTAAATTACAGTATTTTAAAAAATGAAATAAATTGTTTTTTGTTGTACATTTCTTTAATTTTAATAACGTATTTAATATTTAAATAATTAAACCTATATTAATATACGCTTCAAATTGATATTAAGTGTTTTTTTTCTAAAACTACTATGAAGAAGTAAGCAATAAGTACCTAAGGTAAAAAGGTAATAATTAATACCTAATTTATAATTATAATTTTCAGTCTGTATGATTAGTGATTTATGATAAAATACTAGCTTAATTATCCGGCTTCACACGGAACATTCTTGACCGTGACATAGGTTTTAATGGATTATTACTTTATACTATTTAAAGCCAAGTTTAACTATAACTGTTGATGGTTATAAAACAAATAAAACGAAAGTTCAAATGAATTGGATAGTAATTTTGGTTATACGCTGAATTACCTCTGAATTGCCGAATTTGCTGGTTCCAATATTTTTTAAAATCCTCATTGCATGCATTGAATATTAGAAAGACCACCATGATAAATTTTGAGTTCATATAGTTGTGAAATGTAGCGATGGTCAATGAGGAGCAATACTTGACGTTGTCCGTTGAGAAATAGTGAGTGATCAACTCTTTTTGGGTGTTACCGTTGAACCTATACCTTTTTAAGTATAAATCATCCGAAATAACGGTTGAAATATTAATTTGTTATGTATTATAATAAGTAAATATTAAATATAGCCATGTCTATCGCGCCTTCCAGTACTGTTTACTATATTTAAGCATATACTAATATCCTTACAACAATGTTCAATTTATTTTGGATTTTTTTATTTATTCATTTTATTGAAAAAATTTTGTCAATTCGAGGTTTCAAATATATGCTATTTGTTAAAGTGTATTTGGACTATACAATATTTTTTGTTTTTCCTTTTGTGGTGCGTATACAAATAAATCAGGTTTTCTGACAGCAGGTCACATACAGTTATCCATGTGAGGAGCATGAATTTTCAAAATTCAGTCCACGCACTTGTTTTAATTGTCCTTGTAATTTGTTCAAGATCATTGCAAAAGCGAGTCGCACTGGAAACTGCAAAAGTTTGAATTCTAATTTCTTATCTGTTGGAGTCATTGAGATACGTGGTAATAGTACATGTTCACCTTTAAA